TAAAAAAAAAAAAAAAAAAAAAAAAAAAGGTCCAAAGAAACATCAAAATCCTATATATTTACTATGGTTCTAGGTTTGGCCAATTGAACCATTTTACACCTGAATATATGCAAAGGTAAAATTAGAGAGTTCAACTTAAAACACATTGAATGCACTCCTAAAACAGCTATTCCCATCAACTTGACAAAATAGTATTTTCCCAACAAAAACAATCTTCCTATCATGAGAGTAGTTATGGTCAACCACAACAATTCCCTGAAACCTAACTGTAACTAGCACACAACCAAGCTTTTAAATTCCAGTCACAGTATTGCAAAAAAATTACAAAGCTAATATTCAACAAAAGAAAACATAGGTCTGCTATTACAGTAGAAAAACCCAAAAACTTACGTTATGGCCACAAACCTTTTATTTATTTATTTATTTATATATATATATATATACCCTTTTTTCATAATTATTTTTGGTTTACATGAATTATTTTATCCTTTATTTATATTTCAGTAAAAAAAATTCTACATATATGAAATTAAAAAAAAAAAACTAGTAACCGATAAAAATATTAAAAAAAATAAAAATAAAATAAAAAAAGGAAAAGCAATAAGTAATAAAAACATAAAATCAGACATGGTTTTAATATTAAGGCCAGCAACCGCAAGTGTCACATCAAACAGTGCAGGCTTTTAAGGTCTTCACAACCGTATTTCAACGACAATTACGGCCACACATTTTGCCTGCAACTTTACTAGAAACAACACAACGGCAACTACAACTTAAAGCAATAACTAAAACCAATAATAATAACAGTGAAAGAAATCCACTTCATGCATAGGCCAGTACCATGGAAAAAAATGATTGGTTTCTTAAAATATTTCAAGATGTCAGATTTAATTACTATAAAAAATTTAATACCTACATTTTAACATAATCACATGTTTTTAGTTCCAACTATGACTACAATCACGTCACTTTTAATGTTTTTACACGATTTCGGTAAACTAATGTTTTAAAAACACTAATAAATGTATTAATTTCTAATGCTATTTTACTAAAATAATTTTCCTTTCTCAATAAATACATTATTTTTAACTCTAATAATTGAATAATTTATAAAAGAATAAATTTGAGAAGGAAATTAATATTTCATTAAAAGTAAGATATTAATTGTTTTGAATTTTTTTCTTCAAATATTAAATTGCAGCAATAATTGAGATGGAGAAACTACTGTGTTCAGTGACCAAAATTCAAAAAATGGTTAGTTTTAAGAAATTAAATGAAACCCTGAAAAATTAGAAAGCTAATCATGTTTTTTTTTTAGTTTCAAAAATTACATTTTATGGATAAAAAAAAATCAATTACAGTTTCAATCACCAAATTAACCATTTACTCTTCAATAAATGTAAAAACCTAGAACATTCTAATTTTTCTAAACACGTTATCCCACATGAGAGTGGGAATCTAATTCATACAAGATCAATTTAAAAGTTTTGACTATTTCAACGTGATAGTTTAATTTAATGACATACTAAGAAAACAACATGATTATATATAAACTACATGGTTGATATTATTAAAAGTTAAAAGTTCATAAGAAGGACCTTTTGAGGTTGAGGTTGGTAATAATAATAATTAGAGAAATTAAAAGCATAATTTACTCTAATGGTAATAATAATGAGACCTTGGGCTTTGGAATGACTTTGACGGCCACATCGATGCCCTTGAAGGGCCCCTTCTTGGGCTTGGCGGAGCAGGTGTAACCGAAATGGCCGCGGCCCACTTCTTCGTTGAGCTCGTAGTGGGCCGAGAAGTGTTTGGCGAAGCCGAAGGTCTTGTCGAGCCCAAGCTCGCACTCGGGCCCTTCGGGGATGGAGGCCTCGTTGGGCTTGACGGAGCCGTGGCGGCGGGCCAGCAGGGCCCGGATGTGCTTGGCCGGAGAGGGAGGGGGAAAGGGCCGCTTGAAGATCCTCAGCGGCGTCGAGCCCACGCTGCCCGGGTTCGAGTTCGACGATGGCGAGTTTTTGAACCAACTCGGCAGCGGGCTTGGGCTGTAGAACGGGAACTTAGCGGGCTTCGTGGGCTTTGTAGTCGAAGGTGCAACCTCGTTTGGGAACTCATGAGAACTTTCTTGTTGTTGGGTCTCGATGGGTTTGCCATGGCAGATTCCCATTAAATCACGAACCACTCAAAACAATAATAGCAGTTGCAAAAGAAGAAAGAAGAGAGAGAGAGAGAGAGAGAGAGAAGTGGAGATTTCACTGAGTGAAATTTGAGATCAGGGAAGTGGCAAATTCAGAGGCTTTTGAAGCTCAAAATTAAGAAAATTGAAAAGGAAAAAAGAAAAATAATAAAGTGGGTTGTGTAGTTACATAGAGAGAGAGAGAGAGAGAGGACTGTTTGGAGGAACTTCAAAAAAAAATGAGGAGATGAAGCAAAGATTTCACCAAAGTTCAAAACTTGAGATTAGGGAAGTTCTAAATTCTGGGCCTTTTGAAGCTCAAATGTAAAATTAAGAAAATTAAAAGGGAAAAACAGAAGAATTAAAAAAAAGTGAGTTATGCACTAGAGAGTGAGAGAAGGAACTGTTTTTTTTTTTTAAAATGTCTTTTTTAGGGTTGATTAGGGAAACCCAGAAAATGAGGAGGGAATTCCCAGAATGAAAATCAGGGAGATTTTTGAGGGGAGTAGATAGGCTTTTTGTGAGATGAAAAATGAAAAACTGAGAGAATTAATCTGCAGGAGGATCTTCTGGGGGTGGAAGAAGGAAGGGAATTTTTGAAAAAGAAGAAAAAAAAATGATGGGAGAAAGCAAAGGAAGAAGAGTATGAAGAAAAAGTGAGGGAAAGGAAGATGCTTGCTTAGCAGAAGCAGCAAGGAAAAGAAAAAACCAAGCCTCCTTTTTCTGCTTTTTGTAAGGCTTTTTTTTTTCAATTTTAATTTTTTTTATTCTCTAGTTGTTATCAGTGCTTCCTTGGTGAACAGTTCTGTGTAGAAATACACTTTATCAGAGAGAGAGAGTGTGTGTGTATTGTTTCTTGTCTGACAATAATGGTGAGTGGGGTTGGGTTTGGATCCTTCCAGCCTGTCCTTATTGATCCCACAAAAACTAACATGTAGTATTACTATCCATTTCATATGGAACAATGTAACAAGTAAAACAGGTTTAGAAATTTAAGCTTTTGTACAAAAATTATAAGATTTTGTTAAAAAAATTACAATGTTGTTAGTTGGTCATATTAGGTGAGATTTTCCTTGTCAGTCCTTTTTTTTATTTATAAAATTTGGATATGAGACTTTTCTTAAGGGCATTCAACCCTATAACTTTTGAACCAACTATTTATTAATAAATTTTATTAATAGAAACTTTAAAGATTGATTTTAGATATTTTAATAAAGTATTGATTGCATGTTTATATTAATATAATGAAAATTACTATTTTTAGATACTTAAATTTAACTCTAAAGGTAAATGTTAATATATTTTAAAATATAATATTAAGATAAATATGATAAAATAAAATAAAGGGAAAAATAATCAAGCTTTCGCTGGGTATGTAGTTAAACTTTCAAGTTTGACCTTATTTTATTATTGGCTTTGAAAGGCTGTCTTTTTCTGCTTTATATTTTTGAATTTTTGCATGGTGGGTCTGTTTTTGTTTTGCCAAATAAGTGGCTTGAGATTGGAAAAACATTTCAATTGAGGGGGAAAATTAAAGCTGAAAGCACATTTATTTGGTCGTTTGACTCACCTTAGAATTCTTTTTAGTTGTTATAATCATGAACTGGTAGAAAGTTTTCTTATGGAAATTATTCTATTAATGAGGATTTATTATTATTATTATTATTGAATCATTCATGGTCAAATGACCCAAATCTGCAATTTATTTTTCTTTCGGTGGAATCTATTAAATTATGTATTACTATGAATGAGGCAACAAGGGGAATGTTGTAAACAGTGAAGCCAAATTAATCCAAAATACTTCAAAGCAACAATTTCATGATACCTTCATTTTATATTTTGGTGGGTTTCAATCGTTATCGAGTATATTAAAATTGAAATTGTAGTATTCTTTAATCATTATTGAAATTGAAGTATAGTTGGATATAATTATGGTCTTTAATTATGTAGTCCAGAGTTTGATATGTGTTATTATGAATCTTTGTATTATGAGAGATTAGTTTTTAATTTTCTGTATAAAAAAATACTTTTAATAATAAAAATAATATTAAATTGAATTTTTCCATTGTCATCTTTGACCCAACATTTTGGATATAATTAGGAGAATTTAATTTTTATATATTGTTAAAAATATATTTATATTAAATTATTAATGGTTAATTAATAATTGATATAAACAACTTTAAGATATTTATATAGAAATAGTATTTTTTTAATATATGTATTGCATAAAATAAATATTTATTTATGTATAATTATGTTTATAAAAAATACTCTTTCATATTATGAGTGTATTCATTATTTACTCGTATTTTAATTAAATTTTCATTATTATATATGTATATTGAATTTAGTTTCTTTAACCACTACTCAAGTGATAAAAAAAATGTCTAAGAAAAAAATTATATGACTTTTATACACTAAATACTTGAACTGTTTTTTTTAAATATTTAACACCAAAATTATTCTGTAAATAATTTAAACTCTATTCTGTTGATTCGAAAATATTAATTCAGTCTTTTTATATTTATTTTTTAATATTTTAATTCCTCGTACATTGTATTTGTTGATTAAAAAATCTTAAACATTAATTTAGACTTTTATATATATTTTTAATTATTTTAATTTTTCGTTATACACCTAGAATCAATATATTTCTTAAATCAATATTCATTATACCCTACAAATTATAAATTAATGACTAAAAAAATCACGTTAAAAAGGATAGCCTTAATCCGGTTAAGAACTCAAGAAAAATTAATTTCTAACAAAGTTAATAAATAGTTTTGTTAATACTATGATAAAAAAATAAATTATATATATAATTATTGGATTACAAACAAAAGGTGATTTAGTTTTTTATTTCAAAAAAAGTAATTTGACAAGATATATCTTTGATATATTTAAAAAAATCAAAATTTTAACTTATTATTGAAGAATAAATTACACTTCTAATATCTATGTAATGTCTAATGTGCAATTCTGTCCAACGACTTTTTAAATTCATCAATTTTAATCTCTTTATTTTATAAAATTTGCAACTGTTAAGTATTTATATATTAATTATTAAAATAGTATGGTTAATAATGATCTAACTTTAAATAAATGATAAAAAATTAACATTTAATAATATTTAAACAAAATTTTACTCTTAATTCATTTTTTTATCACAAAGTATTATCATTAGATGAAAATAAGATTAAAAAAATAATAATTAAAAACACAATTTAATCTAAATATTATTAAATATTAATTATCATCTCATTTACTTAAATTTTGTTTATATCAATGTTATAATTTCAAAGATCAATTTTAAATATCAATAGTAGAATATTTAACAAAAAAAACTAAAATTATAAATTTTATAAAATTAAAGAACTTAAATTACAATTTTAAAATTTTAAAAATTAAAATCATATAAATACATTTGTAACCCTCATTAAAATATTCTTCTAATAAAAAGGCAAAGATTAGTTGGTTAGCAAATTCCTATTAAGATATTTCATTTGAATATTTTATATAGTCTATGCCCTAATATTTTATTTACTCCCAAAGTCTAGCTTTTAGTTGCACGGAGGGCCCCACTGGATCAGTCATGAAAGGGATAACACAGATGGTTAAGATGAAGCAAAGAAGCACATACATCACATAATCCTCAAGAGAAAACTACTTAATTTATCAAAATCAAAAAGCATTAAATGCTTATTATCTTGCATTGGGAAATTATGGATTCATAAGAATCGACTTGGACATGGACAATGCCCAAAAGGATAAAATAAATTATTGTTTATAATTATGCAATAAGCGAGAAAGAATTTTATTAAATAAGTAACTAACATGTTATTATTAAAAAATATGATTAATTATTAATATAAAAATAATATTACACTGACAGTAGTATATAGGTGATTAACTTTATTTCTATTTATAATTAAGAGGAAAAAAAATTATACATCCATAATATATGATAATTAAGTTTAAGGGGGAAATAGGGATGTTTCTTACCTTTAAAGATCTATACTTTTATTTATAAGGAATATGAATTGCTGTGTGTCTTCATCCTTTGTTAAAATACAACATGCTCATCCTCTAGTCTCAACTAAAAACATGATTGTTGTTGACGATACACAACCAGATTCAATTTTCTTCGTAACATTTTAGCAGTTTTAAACTGTAAAAAAAAAAAAAAAATTACGTTCAAAACTGGGGGAGGGATTATATAATATATATATATATATATATATATA